AATCTCTGATTCGGCAAATCAAATCCTTATGGGTTATTTAATGTCGAAATTTAATTTTCTTGGAAGCTTTGGTATTTTTTTTTACTATTAACATCTATTGCTGGTATTTTTACTATAAAAATGTATTTTTATACTTTCATCGTTACACACACACACACACACACACATCCCACCTTTTATAGATAGAGATTCAATCTCATCTCTAAATTCACGTCTTGTTTCCTTCAAGAGGAAAAAATTATTTCTGAAATCACTTATTTACCACTCTGTGGTCTATTTCTCATAGACGTAACGTTTCAAGTCTGCGAATGTTCAGATTCATTAGCTCTGCCAGTTCAGACCTTTACATCTACGACTCGCCATGATATATCCACTGAGTCGATCCACCCACATTTCCACCGCATTCCAATTGTAAGTAGGAAGTTTCACCTGGACAATTTTCCCGAGAATTTCCACTTTGTGGAACAAAGTCCCGCACGAATGGTTCACGGATTACTAGAAGCTTTTTATCCTCTGCATGGGCCAATCGTTATCTGTCCTCTTCATGCACATAATCATCACATTCTTCTACCTCCTCTTACGTTCCATTTACACACATTCAATAACCCTCTACCATGAGTGGCTCTTAGGCCTTGTATTCGGTGAACTTTTGGTATAAAATATTTAAAGTAAAATCTTGTTTGAAACTTTCCGTATTTTGTGGCGTCTTTTTTTATTGATTGAAATGTCATGAAGGGTCTGTTTGTAAAGTCAGGCTTTCGAGAGAAAATATCTCCATCAAGTGTCATTGTTTTGGCCTTTTTATTGTAACTTGACAATAACATCGCTGACAATGACACATAAAGATATATAAAATGAACATCGTGTTCGTAAATTTAAACGTCACGATCAACAAATGTTGCTTTGATAGGCGACAGGAGAAAATCGATCGTTTTGGTTTTTTTTTCTGACATTCCTTTATGGTGGACAGCTGAAACCTTCTTATATTGGGACAAATATAAAAAAGAGAAAACAACGTTGAGAACTTAGCGGATCATAGCTCTCCACACATTCCTTTTTCTGTATTATCTTTCATAGGAAATATAGTGAAGTGATTTTCTGTTGTATTCTTCTAACACTACTTGTCACCTGTTCCTGTACGATCAGCGAAGTTAAGCAACGTCATACCTGGCCAGTACTTAGATAGGTGATCAGGTGCAGTAAGCTTGGATGTGTGGGTGGCGTAATGGATAAAAACACAGCATTATTAATCAGAGATGCGAGATCCATTTTCCCAATTTGGTTCGTTATATTCACTTCCGTGCAAATATCCTTAGAAAACGCGTAGTAAGTCACCTCTTCTCCCACTTGATTTACTAAAAGAATTATTATCTAAAATATTAAATAATTCTTACAATCTAAAAATATTGTCTGGCTTTAAATAATAAAAGGTTGATAAACTGTAAAAATCGAATCAATCAAATAACACTGGTTTTTAGCCAAAGGTGGAGATGCCGGTCTAGCATGCCATTTAACACCATATTGCTGGTGGGTAGATGAGATGATTACATAGCTTTCTCAAGTGCATTAGTGCGAAAGAAAGCGCAACTAAGCAAGAATTGGAAGAAAAAAATATATTCTTTCTGAAAAGGCTTTTATTCGAATAACCACTCAAACAAATTATGGAACAGGTCCTTCTTTTAAATAGCAACCCCACGTGAACGTAGAATTAATAATAATAATAATAATAATAATAATAATAATAAAACAATTGTTTCGTCACTTTCACCATTCAGAGACGCCCCAGGCAACAAGGACTGATACGAATCCTTTAAGTGAAATGGAAGACATTGTGGTGAGGTGACTATCTCGTAGTCTAGCATACTACACACGTTTTACTTGGATTTATGAGGTTAAACTTTATTAAGGCGATATGTTTGTTTTTTATCACTAGTTTAGCTATACGATACTTATCTTATATTTCTAGAACAAGAAAGCAACTTCCATTTTATTCATGATAAGATAGTTTTGAATCATTTAACCCAAGACAAGTAATAAAGCCACTAAGGCGCTACTGAGTGTGAGAGAATAAAAGAAAAGGGAGACGTTGTTAAGGAGAGAGAACAATAAAAAGAAAAAAGAATTATGAAGACCGTAGATAATACTGTATTTAAATAAGATGAAAATTGTCTGAGAAGCAAGAATCAGAAGAGAGTTCTACAAGCGAGAAGTGCGATAAAAGAAACGATTTAATCTAGCCATTTCAATTGTTAAATGATAAGACCTTGTTGCCAGTCTTTGTACTGCTCTTAAATTTATAAAGTCTAGGTAACATAGAGAAAAGTGCATAAGAAAAATTACCATAAAAGCATTTGTAGACAAGCCATAGAGAAGCTATATAACAGTGCTGGGAAAGTGACTAAAGACGAGATGCCATGTCAGGACTAATAACATTGCAGACAATTCTTTGGCTTTTATCAAGAATCTCTAAATATATAGTAGGAGCACCAGACCAGATGTGACAGCAATATTCAAAGCAAGGGTGAATGGTAAATTCATAAATATGTAAAATAAATTCTGGTATGTACATTTGTCTAGTACGACACAGTGAACCAACTTTCCCAACAGCAAACCTTGCCATTGATTCCAAAAAATCTTTCCACTTCAGTTCAGCCGAAGACGTTAGTCCAAGAAGGCGCAACGAGTCACTCTCCTGGAGGTTAGCATCAGCCATATTGATGGAAGGTAAAAATAGTTCTCTCAGACGACTAAGGGGGACATTTTCGTTTTGGAGGCGTTGAAATTAATAAGCTATTCCTTGCCCCAGTTAACAACAGACTTAAAGAATACGAGACTGCATTTTTCTTATATGAAATTACATTTAATTCCGTTATAAGCTCCGCCCGATTCGAAACTGTGTGTTTTTTTAATCTTTCTTTGAACGTTCAGCCTTCTTGGAGTGTTTATGAGGGATTGTCTTTCCCCTCTCGTAGATCTCGGGCACTTATATGAATTCCTGCTATGTGATTGTTTTCTGTATTCTAAGTTCAGTTGGATTCAGTTTTTTGATTATGCTTGCGCATCTATCAACATCCTTCGAGGCCCGATTCAGCACTGGCTGAGGTCACAATCTAGGTTAACCCTTGTGGCTACTTGATCTTATGACATTTCAATATGACACCGGACACAATAATTATACTCTTATTTTTTTAGGGAGAACCCAGTTCATATTATGAACACCGCATATCAACTCTTCTTAGATCAAGTTTTCTGATGGAGATTAAATTCAATTTATTCCTTTGGTATATTTTCTGGCGCGAATCGCAAACTGCCAGTGTGACAGAGAAGCGGTTATTCACTAACAAACCAAAACAAATGTTAAAAAGAAATTGATTTTTTGACTTGAGCTCATAGATATCGACTGAACTTAGCAATGAAAAAAAAAAAACGTTCCAACAAAACAGAGATTGTGTTCATTTGAAATGAAAACTCCGGAAACATTTACGAAGGATATAAAAAAAGCGCGCAACAAAGCCATTAGCTAAATGCACAAATTTAATTAGGAAAGAAAGGAATCAAATCAACCCATTGAAGAAAATAATGACATAAGACAATCATTTCTCTCAGTGAGAGACATGCAATGAAAAAAAATATATCCAAAGTTGAAACAAAGGAGGTTAATAATTTACTATGTCACACTGAAGCAACCTATATCGAATGAACTATTTAATCTATGTGGCACAGAGAAAGTCACGAAGAATTTTCATGCCTCAAAAATGTGAACGATAAAAACGCCAAACTAGAACAGGGGATAATACCAAAGGAACAAATTAAATCTTTACACAAAGAGATTAATGTCTTCAAAATGAGATGACAACACCAATTTACACGATAAATTTAAAACATATCAAACATTAGAAAAAAGATATCATGCTGAAACAGAGGAAGTATATAGAAAGATTTAAAGACAAGGAAGTTAAACTAACAAAATATTTTAAATGACAATGAAAACAAGGAAAAGCTGACTATGGCAATGATAGACGATTAAAAAACATTGCGTTATAATCGTTTATATTTAAAATAGAAATATGTTCATATGGGCATCCAATACTTTGAGAACTGTAAAACAAAGATGTCGGAAGAAAATCACTTACAAGGGAAATAACTCTTCACAATTTTAGTAAAGTCTTGCGAAGAGAAGATTTAAAGCAACAGAAATTGAAGCTCTACAGAAGGATGCTAAGGATACCATGGACCGAACATGTGAGTAATGCCGAAGTTTTGGAGAAAAAGGAAATAAAAACAAAACTAATATTGAATATCAGGAAGAGACAGTTGAGTTTTCTAGTGCATATAATGAGGAAGGAAGTCACGGGATAGATGGAAGGAAAGAGAGACTGAAGAACACAATGCATGCCATACTTGATAAACTTGATTAAATGGATGGAAGAACAGGAGAAATAGCAAAAGGACAAGGTACTAAACAAGAGCTACAAGGGACAGGGTGTTGTGGAAAGCCATGATCGCCAACGTCCTGAAGGGACATGGTACATAAAGAAGAAGAAGAAGTTTTAAATTTACTACTACACTAAAAACACGCACCCAACTGATACAAATAGACAATCTAAATCTGATTTCGAAAATTGTCTATACAAATACCCGAATTTTGGGGATCGGGAGTTATTACTATTTACATTAGTTACATGAAAACAATTGTCTTCATCTGCATTATTTGTATCACAATATTTTGGCCGCTGTGTCCTCAGGCCTTCCTTAGAGAATTTCTTAACTGAACACTTTATTTAATCTACGTGGGCAGATTGTCCTCATTCATCCCCATAGACGAATTAAAGTGTTCAGTTTGGGATTCTGTAAATATTAGCCGGATCTACAAGCCACTGATGAAGGCCGCAGGGCACACCGACCGAAATTTTGTGATAATAACCGCAAATTTGAGGACAAAGTCCGCATGTAAACAATTCAAATAATGTGTACAAATAGCTTGAAGAGCTGGAATGAAAATGCTAAAAATATCCCAAAATCGAAACGACATTTCTGGAGACGAAACACGGCAACAAATTCTTCTTTACTTCTTCTTCTTCTTCTTCTTCTTCTTCTTCTTCTTCTTCTTCTTCTTCTTCTTCTTGTTATTATTATTATTATTATTTTTATTATTATTATTATTATTATTATTATTATTATTATTATTATTATTTCCTTTGATTTCTGTTTAATACCCATTTAGTTCCGGGTCTCAACCAGAGATCTAAAGCTCAATAACATATTCCGCTGATTATTTTTTATAAAAAAGCAACTAATATCACATACATTTTAAATAGAAAAAAAATCTTTATAATGTGTGAGCTGTACTTGTGAGAAATTTTTTTGTATTTCTTTAAGGCATGTATGTGCTACCACGAATCTCTTCAATGAGTCCATCGGAACCTTTTTCGATGAAACCTAGGGCGCCAACTACAAATGAAAATTTTGGTATCCTCATTTGCTACATTTTTTAGATTTCCACTTCAAGATCCTTGTATTTTGATAGTTTATTGAAGATCTTCAAAGATAGATTACAATCTGCAGGAATTGCCATGTGAATAAGAAAAGATATTTTGTCTTTGCGGTCTCTAATCACGATGTCTGGCCGATTAGATTTGACTGTTCTGTCTGTGTGTCTTGTAAAATCCCATAAAATTGTTACAGGTCCTATCTCTATGTAACTGGGTTTAGCTGGTGTTTCTTGCAGTTTTCTTCCCTAAAAAGTTGCATATTTTCCAGTGCAGATATTGACCCACAATATCATGCAGAGTTTTACATTCAGTTCAGCATTATTATTATTATTATTAAAGACAAAAATATTTTTTTTAAATATGAAAATGTGAAGAAAAGTAATCATTTTCCGCGTACATGATCCAGTCGACACATATTTTGCAAAAAGAATGGAAGAATTCGAAATTTGAAATCGAATTAGAATCATTCAGGCGACAACTGATAAAAATGAGAAGAAGAATAATGAACAATGTTTTCGAGTATTGAATTGATTTTCAAATGATCTTCGGTGACAGTCATTCATTACCAAATGTGAGTGAAAATGCAACCAGTACAAAATATGATTTTACAAACACACGGATAAAAAGTGTTTATATACGGTAAATTAAACCAAATCTGTTAAAATAATAAATGTAGGCATTTCCAACTGATCAGTGGGTGAGGCAAAAAGAGACAAAGGCCAATGCAGACATTAAAGAGTATTTCGGTGCATTTTTCCAAAGAAAACACTTTTATTATCAGACAATATATTCACGAAGTGATTGGAATGGCTAAAGTCAGGAAAAAATGAACTGTAGCAATGCATACGGCAACTTAGAAACTTGCTTTCATCTAATCCCTAATGAAACTCAGCATATATGTCTTGTAGGAAATCCATTCATTATAATAATGGGAATAGCGAACAGAAAAAAAAACTCATGTTGAATAAGACTAGACTGCCTGACAAGAACTTGGAGAGCAATCACTGTGATAATAACAGTCATGAATAGATTCTGAGAGATGTTGAAATAAGAATACCATTAAGGTGGAGCAGGTGAAAATACACAGGTACCTAGAACTGGCAGGGCAAATCAGAGGAATATACCAAGTAGCAATTCATGTTCTCCATTTTGTTGCTACGCAGGGTGAATTGGACATACCTGAAATCATTGGAAATGAGCAGCTGGAATCACTGCCTGCTTGGAAAAGTTCATGTGCTACTGAAACTGTTGTGTCTATCATCTACGACTAGGAGATGAGATATGATCATCATCATCATCATCATCATCATCATCATCATCCGGTTGAAACATCTAAAATCAGTGTGAGGATATTAAATCAAATAATAATAATAATAATAATAATAATAAACATTTATCAACGATTCATATTTTGAATATGTAAAAAAATGGCGCAATAAGTGAGAGAGAGAGAGAGAGAGAGAGAGTCATCGAAGATGAAAAAGGAAAGGTTTTATGGGCATGAGGAGTGAAACAAATAATGTCATTAAACCTTCCCAGCCAGAAATAATTGTTTTCACCAAAGAACACCTATTTTATTAACCTATTAACATTTTCTGTTTCGTGACTGAATAGTAGAGAAAAAAATGACAGAAAATTGAGTCGGCTGAAAATTTCACAAGCTGATCAAGATACTCTCGTTCTGGGCATGACGATAAACTACTTCCGGGAGCAAGGCCTCTGATCGAGAGATTGGGCGGGGGTGGGGGAGTTGAATCACCTCTTAATTTCTGTTGTTGACCTGACCAATAGTTAACCCCAAAACTGTGGCCAAATATCATGGAAGTATAAAATTACGTTTTTATAGTGAAAATAACTGGAATAAGTTTTTGACAAAAAATTATCAGCAATTTTTGAAAGAAAATTACCAAAGCTCCAAAGCAATTTAAATTTTGGCATTAAATGACTCATAAGGAGTTGAGATTCCGCTAAAAAAAACCCCAAAAAACAAAATAAAAACAAAAAAAACAGACCAAGCTATTCTCATAGAATGTGACCAAATGAGGTTTATTTCTCAGCATAGGTGTCCTTGCAGTCCACGCATTTCTTCCATTGGTGTTGTAGTGATTTGATTCCATTGGTGAAAAAGCTTTCATAATACTGAGTCATCAACAGCAGATATGGCATCATCATTACTACGATACTGGTTCCCAGTTATATATTTCTTTTCATGTTGGAGAACAGATGATAGTCAGATGGGGGCAAATCAGGAGAATAGGGTGGGTGATCAACCAGTTCAAAGCCACAGTTTCGCACAGCTCTCCGTTGAAACCAAGGATTTGAGTGGTGGAGCATTGTCCTGATGAAACAAGTTCCCTTTCGTCAGTTTTCTTGAGCCTTTAGTAACTGCTTCAGCAAGTTGGCATAGTAATTTCCATTGATGGTCTGCCTTTTGAAGATAGTCCAAATATACAATGCCTTTTGCATCCTAAAAAACTAAGGACATTACCTTCCCTACAGATGAATCAACCTTCTCCTTTTTGGAGGGAGAGAGGAGGGGAGTTTTTACTGCATGGACTGTCTCTTGTCTCTGGCCGAAAGTTAAGAAACGTTCAAAGAAACCAGCTGAATCTGCCTCAAACAATGTCAGATTTTCCTATGATATGATCAGACTGGTACGCTTTTGATCAAGTGTCAGAAGACGTGGTACCCAGCGAGCAGAAACCTTCGTCATGCCAAGTTCATTGTGCAGAATATTCTCAACTCTTTCACAGGATATGCTAATATCATTGGTTATTTGATTTATAGTCAATCACCTGTCATCCATCACCATGTAGTGAACATGTTTTCCTCAGTGGTGACAGTTGAGAAACATTCAGACCTTGGGTTATCTTCAAGACTCTTCCTTCTCTTCCTAAATTCAGCTGTCCACTTTTGCACTGTTGATAAAACTGGAGCGTCATTCCTTAATGTAGTAACCGTGTCAGCATAAACGTCCTTGGGCGCTAAGACTTTTTTTTTATACAGGCACTTGATAACACCACACTGCCAAATTTTGTTAATTTTCAAGAGAAGTCGCTAATAGTTACTTCTGAAGTCTTCTTGGAACAGACAGATATCAGATTGCTAGGAAAGAAATAATGCAGTTATTAATAAGAGTTGAAATTAATGCATGCAAGATTTCACATCTCTAGCATCATTCCTTCATAGTCAGACTATGAACTTTTCACCCCACCTTCTTGTACAAAGTTAAAATGCCAAACCAAGAGAATATGTGTCTATTGTAATCGGAGAATTAGGAACAGTGCCAGAGAATTTTAATCCATTCGTTGATAGCATTAGATTTATCAGTGAGCTTTTATGTGTTACAGAAGTCCTGTTTGGTTGGCATAGGATCAACTGTCAGAAATGTACTGCGTGCCTCAAGCTGTGGAATGTATAGCTTGATATAAAGTAAGTGCAAAACCAGTTAATGACATTCAGTAAAGCTGTGCAAAAAGATAAATAATAATGTTGTATGAGAAAATGTGCGTTTGCTTTTGAACATCGAGGTGAATTCACAAAACTGAATATCATCCATAAACACATTGATTCTTGCTGTGATGCAATAGAATTTCAATACCCTAGAACATGGTTGAGATTAAGCGTATGAATGTCAAAACAGGACAGGCATCACCCTAAGGCCGATGTTGATCGTCTGTTACTGTCCAGATCCGAAGGAGGAAGAGGATTAGTTTAGCTGTCTTATAAAATCAACAATTGACCTTCAAAGAAAACTAGAAACAACAGAAAATTTTACATTGGTCTGTGTCAAAGAAAATGAAAGAAATAAGAAACTTTATGCCGTGATAAAGGAAACCAGCAAATTCATAAGGGAATTTAAAATGGATGATAAGGAAGTAAACCATAACCTGCAACGTCAAGCAATCTAAAAAAAAGACAGCAAAACCAAGTGCAATTGGCCGACCGCAAAAACGATGGCAAGATAAACTACTTCATGGACAATAATCTACCAAACAAGCTGATATAGACAAACCATACCGCCATCAGTTCATTATTAAAACAGAAGCGGAAGGTTTTACGTATTTCTATATAGAACCAATGCTTGTTAAATAGAAATTATCAAGTAAATAAACGGAAAGATTGTGTTATTCCCAAATGTACAATCTCTGGTGAACATCTAGCAATAATTGGCCACTTTCTATCAGGTTGCATGATATTAGCATCGACCGAATATAAAACTCTGCATGGCAGGGTGGGATAATACCTGCACTAAAAACTGCAACTTTTATGGGAAAGAAACTACAAAAACTACAAAAAAATATATGAACCCTACCCTGGCCCGGTTACAGAAATAAAACTTGCAGCAATAAACAAAAACAGGACGATCAAAGATAACCACCGAGACACCGTGACCAAAGACTTTATAAATAGAATGTGCTTCACATGGCAATTCCTGCAGATGTAGCTTTGAAGATCTTCAAAAACACTATCAAAATACAAGGATCTTAAGTTGGGGATGGGACCCTGCGTTTGACTGGAGAATGCTTTAAAAGATGGGATTCCTGGCAGGCCAAGAACGGAAAAATTCCTCTTACAAGCACAGTTCACACTCTACGAAGGGCTTTGTCTATGTAACATGTGTACGCGTTTC